ACGATTTTCGTAGACAATTTATTGTCCATACGTAACAATATCTTCACAAATTGTCCACTCGGTCGTGTCTTTTATCTACGAATAAATTTGGACGTGGAGATCTTCTTCTATTTCTAATTTTGGATCAGACAGAACGATTATTTAGTTTTGGTCACATAGACGATAAATAATAGGTACATACACATACAAAAAAATGTTACGCGTGGACATTTTAAGTACAATCGTGGACAACTTTAATTAAAACTTGTCAATGTGAAAAAGAGAGGATTTAAGAGAAAAAAAAAGAGGAAAATGGTGGTTTAGGAGGGAAGGAGAAGAGAGATAAAGGAACATTCAAGAAGGAAGGAAAATAAAGAAAAAGGGGGATTTACCAGAGAAAGAGAGAGAAATGGAGATTTAAGGAGAGAGAAAAAAGGAGAAGGAAAAAGTAGATGTGTGAAAGGGGTAGAACAGTTTTTTCATCTTTTCTTTTGGCAATTGGTAAAAGACTTCCAAACAATGGCAAATTTTGCAAACAATTTGTCAAAAAATGGCATTTCTTGTAAAATTCCCTAAATTGTTTGTAAGCAAATGAGGTGTCGATTTGTTTGATTAAATATATTACAACAAAAAATGCTAGATGACTTCTAATTGTTAGTATTTTAACAGTTTTATATATTTTAAATTAAAATTCTATTAATTATTATATCCTATATATAATAATCGTATTAATTTACTTATTTTAATATGTGCAAAAATTATGTAAATTTCATTAGCATTAAATACGATTTTTTACAATATATTTTTAACAATATATAAATCTAAATAATAAATGATTATTTAATTTAAATATTTTTTTTATTTGGCCAGAATTCAAATAGTTTAAATTGATTAAATCTTTGATGAACAAAAATATGCCGAGAATATCTATTAATTTCAAAGATTATTTTTGTTTTGAAAACAAAATTTTCTATATTAGTATTCGATATCTTTTTAAATTTCGCAAACCAGTTTCTGCAAATCTTTCAAACACCAATATCCCTTAAATATATTCTATTACTATAAATCACAAGTCAATTCACAAAAAACTGCAACTATTTCCTTCGGCCACGTATTATAAGTCCCAATTTTTACCATTTCACTTTTTTCGATTATATTATCAATTAATTC